AAGGGCCTTGCCAGGGCCGCGGCCTCCCCTCAGGGCACCCACCAAAGCTCCTGAACCAGCTCTGCTCCCCAGCAGCCTCCTGCCTTCCTCGCCAGGCAGGACCCTAAAGAAATGCCAAGAGCTCTCAGAAACACTGCAGGAAGAGTGGGAAGTTGGTATAAGCACAAGGCTTCCTGGGGGGGCCCCGGGGGACCCCCACCCATGGTGGGTTGTTCCTTTGGGTCCATGAAGGCAGCGAACTATTCAAAGAGGAAGCCGCCTGCATGCTCACGCCCCCCCCCCATTCTACAGACAGGAAACTGCAGTGGGGGAGGGGGTAAGAGGTGATGATGGCCCCAAGAGACCTCCCGAACCCCAACCCAGAGGGCCTGAGCCAGCATCCTCCCCACAGGCCCCCCTACCCCTCCATCCCCACCTTTAAAAAGTCCAAGAACAACCAAATACCAGCCCTCCCTCCCGCTGGGTTTTCTGGATTAGTGAACTAACTTGCATCAGAAGGTAATTGGGGGTAAGAACAGATAAATAAAGTAGAAAGTGCTGAGAACCACAGAAAGCGGGTCCATTAGCCCAGAATCCAGCCCCAAGAGTCAGTGGGGAAGGGTGGGGGCTGCTGAGTGACACTGAGTCTGGGACCCCAGGGCACCAAGGTCACAGCCTCTCGGCTCCCCCAACTGGGCCGGGGCTGCTGGGGGTGTGAACACCCGAAAATACCAGCAGGCCCGGCTGGGGCACATGCCAGCCTTGCTCATTCCAGGAAGGGCTTCAAGGAGCCACCCCACCCCCGCCCACCCGCACTCACCGCCACTCACTCAACTGGGGCACAGAAAAGGTCAAGACAGCATCCCTGGTCATCACAGAAGCCCCCGCCACTTCCCTCAGAGGCCCCAGCTCCAAAGGCTGCAGCCGCCACACTCCACCTCGGGCCGCCCACCCATGCTTCCCCACCTGCCCAGCCTTGCGGGTCTGCTCTGGGCACCAGCAGCCAGGAGCTGTCTCTGCCCTCGCCAGCTCCCCTCCTCTGCCTCCACCCCAGCACCAGCTGCTCCGGGGGACCCCGCTTCCCACACAGCCGCTCTCCCAAGCCTGAGCCCTCTGGGGCCCTCTCCCTGCCGCCCCTTTCAGCGCCCAGGGGTCTGAGTATCTGGAATCTGAGGATCAGCATGGAATCTGGAGGGTGTGACCAGAGTGTGACCGGAAAGGGGAACAGGAAAGAGGCCTCCATGGGTGCCCACGGGCGCAGAGGGCTTTCTCAGAGGCTGTGGGAGGGGACTGGCTACCTGCTGCCCCGCTAGGAGAGCCAGAGTTAGAGCAGCTGTCAATTAACCGCAGGCCTCTGTGAGCCCTGGTCTCCCCTCATGAGATACTGAACCCCCAGAGGGAGGGTCAGCCTCTCCCTTTACAACGGGGAACCGGGGAACCAGGAGACTCAACCCAGGGAGTCAAAGCCCCAGATAGGCAGGTGGAGAATCCCAGCCTCACCCTGGAAGTTCCTGGGCTGCAATGGAATAGGGGGTGGACAGTCACTCATTTAAAGGACACTTTGAACCCTGCTCTGTGTATGTGTTTACAAGGCGGGGTGTGTGGGGAGGACCCAGAGCCCGTGCAGGGGTCCCCGTGTCCCCACCGCGCCCTGTCCTCTATGCTTTGTGACGTCCTGCGTCACATCCCCACTGTCACTTTTGAGGGAGGAGGAGCATTCGGGGGGGAGGGGCTAGAACAGCTGGCTGAACCCCAAAGAGGTGGCAAAGGGGCCCGCCTGGTGTGCTCTGGGATCCCAGGTGAGGGCAAACCAGGGGCCAGTTAACACGCAAATGGAGGTGTGGCCGACCAGAGCTTCAGGATCCAATGGGTTCCTGACCCCCAGCCTCACCCTGAGAAAACTGAGCTGGGCCTGTGTAGGAGGTATGATTGGGGTGAGGGGGAGAACAGGGAGGTATTTGGGGAAGGAGCAACGGTGAAATCTGGACCAGAGAAAGGCTGCCTGGAAGCGGAGGCAACTGGGTGCTGAGGCTGACTTGTTGAAGGGTTCCCAGAGAGAGTGTCAGGTTCAGGAAACACGCCTCCCCCATAACCTGCTCCTCCTACCCCCATAATTTAGGGGGGACCAGTCACTGCCCTCCGGCAGGCAAAGAGAGATGCGGCAGGCAAAGAGAGATGCGTTATCACCCTGCCCCTCCCAGGCGCCCCAGCACTCTCCTCCCTCTACCCAGTGGCCCAGACTTGGTGACCTCCAGCTCCTCCCCCCTCACTACTATTGATTGCTTGACCTCTTGGTGCCACGCCGCAGCAGTAAGTTCTTCACATAGTCTAACCTCCATCCCTTCAGCTACAGCAGACTCTTTTCAATATCCTGCCAGAGGCAGAATCAGAAACGGACCCCGGAGAGTAAGCCAGGTCCCCTCACCAAAGCAGCAGCCCCTCTCCATCCCCTAGCCTTCTTCCCCTGCAGGCCCTTCACCTCCTGGCCCCCCTAATTTAGTAAGCAGAAAGAGATCTATTTCACAGCACAATTGACACCCCACCCCCTTCACTCCTTCCGCTGACTCCCAGATGGTGCGTCTCCGGGCGCCGGCGCCCCACCGATTCCCACAGCCCTTCCAGGGAGCCGCTAGGCCCCTGCAGACCCTCCCAAGGCCTTCAGCTGCCCCTCCCCGCAGCAGGGGGGCAGAGGCGCCAGACCTCCCCTGGCTCCCGCATTTCTGCCCCCCAGGGAAGTCCCTCTCCGCGTCTAACCTCGGCGCCTCCACCCCTTCCCGCCTTTTTACCCCGAGTCCACCCTCCCCGCTGGGGTCGCAAACTTGCGGTCCCTCGTCCCCGCTCGCTGCACCCCTCCGCGTGCCAGCCCCCAACGCCGGGCCCCGCGCGGAGCTCCCCGCAGCGCCTCCCCACCCC